GGTGACATGGAGGGGATCCACATCTGCTCCCTGCAGACTCTCCACTGGTGTCCCACAAGGCTCAGTACTTGGTCTTCTCCTGTTCTCCCTCTATACTCGATCTCTTGGTGCGGTCATATCCTCACATGGGTTTTCATACCACTGCTATGCGGATGACACTCAACTCATCCTCTCCTTCCCTCCCTCAGACACTCATGTTTCTGCTCGGATATCGGCATGTCTTGCAGACATCTCATCATGGATGACAGCTCATCAGCTGAAACTTAATCCCAGCAAAACTGAACTGCTGTTCATCGCAGGTGATTCATCCCCATCTCAGGATCTTGCAATCTTCCTAGACAATTCTCTGATCTCGCCTTCAGTTACTGCATGCAACCTTGTGGTAACCATGGACAATCAACTGTCCTTCTCCTCTCACATTGCTAATCTGAAACGCTCATGTCGATTTCTCCTTTATAACATCAGAAGAATTCATCTATTTCTTTCCACATAGGACACACAGGTGCTTGTTCAGTTTCTTGTCATTTCAAGACTGGACTACTACAACTCACTCCTGGCAGGTCTGCCTCTGAGTGCCATTCGTCCTCTGCAACAGATGCATGATTGGTTTTCAACCTTCCTAAATTTTCCCACACCACCCCATTGATGCACTCCCTCATCTGGCTTCCTGTAGCTTGCTACAAAGCCAAAAATGGACCAGCACCCACTTATCTCAAAGCACTTATCACACCTAGCAAGGCACCACGCTCCCTCCGGTCCTCTAGCACTGCTCAACTGGTCACACTGTCAGAGTACAAATAAGGCATGCATCGAGACTCTTCTCTGTTCTGGCATCAGGGTGGTGGAATGAACTTCCCCTAGATGTCCGAACAGCTGAGTCACTGGCAGTCTTCAGATGACATCTAAAGACTTACCTCTTCATAAAGTAGTTAAGTCAGCATTTACCAAAAAAAAAAAAAAAAAAAAAAGTGTTGTCTGAGCGCTTGTCTATTACCTCCCCAACAGAGTTTTGGACTAATGGTATTCCTAGTTTGTGACCTAGTGAGCCAGTATCAGAATGTATTTTGATAGACTTCAAAGCACTATTGTAAGTCGCTCTGGATAAGGGCATCTGCCAAATGCCATAAATGTAAATTTAAGTTAAACAAGTTAACTAGTAAACAAGTTAAATGAGGTAAGGTGGTTATGGTGCAGTAAGTTAAGATGACACTTAACAGGTAAAGGTAAACAGTTAAGTTAAATGAAATAAATCAGAATTATGGTGCAGTGAACTGAGATAAACAGTACAGGTAGAGGTAAACAGCATGATGCATGCAATATGATGCAGTAGATACATACAGTGGATAAAATGCAGATGTGCAAATGGCAATTATTTTTAAATAACAGTCCAATGTACAATACAGTATAGTATGATGTCTTATTCTACTGTTTATTTGTTAGGTGGAGACTGGCAGTTAATGCTTAGAAACTGAGTTCAGCATTAGTACAGCTGAAGGGAACAAGCTGTTCATGAGAAAAAGCAGACATCTGTAGCGTTTTCCTGATGGGAGATGTACAAACAGTCCATGATGGGGATGGGAGGTGTACTTGATGATACCTCTCGCCCTCCACAAGCAACACCTGTGTTCCAGAGATGTGTTGGGCAGTTTTCACTATCCATTGTAGTGCCTTCTGGTCACACACTGTGCAGTCCTCATACCATACTGTGATGCAGTTTGTAAGGATGCTTTTAGTCGTACTTCAATAGAAGTTCACCATGATCTGAGGAGCAAGGTGAGCTTTATTCAGTCTGAAGAAACTACATGCACTGTTGTGCCTTTTGGGGTGAGGTTTTGAGGTCCAGGAAAGGTCAGCAGAGATATGGAAACCCAGAAATTTGAAGCTAGAGACCTGCTCTACTTCAGTCCCATTAACAAAGATAGGGGTGTGTTGTGGCTCCTCGAAGACTTCCAGTAGTCCACAATCAGTTCTTAGGTTTTCTGGATGTTAAGGTTGAGGTTGTTATTGGTTACACCATGTTATCAGATGCTGAATCTCTTCCCTCCAGGCTGTCTCGTCATCATCTCTGATCAGGCCAGCTAACGTAGTGCCATTTGTGAACTTGATTATGGAGCTGGAGCTGTGCACAGATACACAGTCGGAGGTGAAGAGGGAGTGGACTCGGCATGAAGCCTTGTGATATGCCGGTGTTTAGGATGATGGTGGAGGAGGTGGTGTTGTCAAGTCTAACTGACGTCTGTTGTTTAAAAAGTCCAGAGTCCATTTGCAGAGAGTGGGGCTGATAAGACTGGAGAGTTTGGAGATCAGCATAGATGGAACGATGGTATTAAACGCAGAGCCAAAGTGAATGAATAGCATCCTCATATAGGAGTTGCTGTTTTCCAGATGAGTCAGGGCAGAGTGAAGGGCTGAGGAAATGGCGTGCTCTGTTGACCTGTTATAAATAAGCATACTGATGGGGATCAAGTGATGGTTGTAGGCAGGCTTTCAGATGAGAGAGGACCAGCCTCTCAAAGAGCTTGACAATGATGGGCGTAAGGGCAATTGGACGGAAGTTGTTGAGTGCTGTTGCAGCATTGTGCTTTGGTACTGGCACAATAGTGGTGGTTTTGAAGGAGGTGGGGACAACTGCTTGGGCCAATGATAAGTTGAATATAACGGCGAAAACCCTGGCTAGCTGCTCTGCACATGCTCTGAGCACCCAGTCTGGGATGCCCTGCCAAAAATGGACCACCCTGCTCAGGATGGAGCACACATCACTGTGGAGAAAGAGAACTGGGGGTCACCAAGTGGAAGCTCAGGTTTGGCAGATGCAGTTGTATTTACATTGAGACCTTGAGATTGACACTGACATTGAGATTTACACCACCTCCTCTGCAGTATGGACCATGGAGCAGTAGAAGAAGGTGGCCTGGTCTGATGAATCACGTTTTCTTTTACATCATGTGGATGGCCAGGTGCGTGTGTGGCTCTTACCTGGGGAAGTGATGGCACCAGGATGCATTATGGGAAGAAGTCAAACCGGCAGAGGCAGTGTGATGCTCTGGGCAATGTTCTGTTGGGAAACCTTGGGTCCTGGCATTCATGTGGATGTTACTTTGACACGTACCACTTACCTAAACATTGTTACAGATCAAGTACACCCCTTCATGGCAGCGGTATTCCCTAATGGCAGTGACCTGTTTCAGCAGGATAATGCGCCCTGCCACACTGCAAAAATTGTTCAGAAACGGTTTGATGAACATGAGAAAGAGGTCAAGGTGTTGACTTGGCCTCTAAATTCCCTAGATTTCAATCCGATCGAGCATTTGTGGGATGTGCTGGACAAACAAGTCTGATCCATTGAGGCCCCACAGCTCAATTTGCAGGACTTAAAGGATCTGCTGCTAATGTCTTGGTGCCAGATACTACAGCGCACTTACAGAGGTCATGTGGTGTCCATGCCTCTGCGGATAAGAGCTGTTTTGACAGCACAAGGGGGACCTACACAATATTAGGCAGGTCTTTTTAATGTGATGGCTGAACGGTGTATACTGTAGTTGATAAATATGATATTTAAAGTTTAAACCTGTCCTTTTTATATTCAATAATTCATACAGCATCAGCTAACAATTCTTCTGTGATTATAGATGTTATTGAAATAGTAAATCCATAGCAGGAGGAAAATGGTTTATTAATTAAATTTAATTTTGAGATTGGACATTGGGGTTGTCCTTTATTTTTCCACATCAAAGATGGCAACCTATAACCTGTTTCATGGCTAAAGCTAATGCCTCTAAGTACAGTGGATAAAGAAAGGGTTCTTCCATGTAGATTTGTGTAATAGTTTGTATACTATGTGGATGTAGATTATGTTCTGATAATAAATATTTAAAAAAAAATTAAACAGTGAGAAACATTAATTCAGTTAATTCAGTCTGCATTATTTAGAAGGATATTCTGTAAAAAACCATGACAGTGTTATGGAATTCTATGTCCTGATAATTATTGAGATCAGTCAATATAGAAAAAATTATTGTGATAACATTTTTGGCTATATCACCCAGCTCTACTGTTATAGCAGCGAAGGGGGCACCAGCTTCATAATAATGCCCATGATTTACAATGGGATGTTCAAAATGCACATATGGGTATGATGGTGAGGTGTCCACAAACTTTTGGCTATAGTGTAGATTGCCAAAATTGTACAGTTTTTTAAATGTGCATTTATGTCACAAGATTTATAAGATTTTATTGTAAACACAAGGTTTGTGTAGATTTTTTACAATTTTTAAAATTTTTGTATTTTTTCCATGTGTTTTTAGCAGATCGGACAAAGCCCTTTGGTGTTTACGCAGCAGTTCTTCTTCTGTCTACCTGTTCTTTACTATTAAGAAGGATATGCATTTGTTTTTTTTTTCAAATCCATGCATCTTCCCAAAACAAGATAATGATCAGAATTGATTATGTGCATAATTAATTGTAATTTGTTCGTGTTGCTCTTCTCAGGCGCAGGCAAATGACAGTGACAGCGATGTTGGCTCAAAGCTCAAACTGAAGAGCCACTCGTCAGGTTCAGATAGTGAGACGGATGACAGCGAGGACGATAAGAAGCCCAAGCGGCGAGGCCGGCCACGTGCACGCAAAAACAACGTGGAGGGTTTCACAGATGCTGAGATTCGCAGGTAACATTTTCAGTTGAGTTTGATTACAACAGCACTAGGTATTTCAAACGGTCATTTATTAATGAAACTGAAATTCAGCTTATTTGTTTCAACAGGTTCATTAAAGCTTATAAGAAATTTGGCGCTCCACTTGAAAGGTATGACTACTTGTGTCACTACTAGAGTATTTTTATTCTCTTTTGGCTGCTCCCGTTTGGGGTCGCAACAGCAGATCACTCGTCCACATATTTTTGATTCTGGCACAAGTTTTACGCCTGACGCGCTTTCTGATGCAAGGCTCCCCATTTCTGGCAGAGAGTGCACTGGCTCGCGCAACCCTCTACTGGCTGGGATTCGTTCCCTGACCGGGAATTGAACCCGGACCGCAGCAATGAAAGTACCACATGCTAGCCACTAGTCCACCAGGGAACTTGTCGCTGCTAGAGCAACGTTGCAAATTAAATGTTGCAAAAAAAAAAAATAATGTTGCAAAGCACAATACAAAATTCATAACCAATATTGCTTCTCAAATGAGATATTTCATACTTAGCATTAATCAAGCATTAAAATTTAAGTTCTGATTGACTATGTTGTTTCCAGGTTGGAGGCCATTGCACGTGACTCTGAACTGGTGGACAAATCCATAGCAGATCTAAAGAGACTAGGAGAGCTGGTGCACACAACATGCGTAGCTGCAGTACAGGAGCACGAAGAACAAATGAAGGAGAACCCCACCGAAGGTGTGTGTGCCATTTGATTTATTTATTTGTTTTTTTTTTATCTATTCATTACCATATGGAGAATAAACACACTCAGTAGAGCGATATATACAATGTAATAAATATGCAAATTATTAAATCAAGATAAAGTTTGTATTGCTACAAACTTTATTGATTGTAACGCAAGATTTTTTAAAATATATGTACAATACTATGCAAAAGTCTTAGGCACCCTATTTTTAATAGTACAGACTTTGTTATAGATTTTTATTTTATGACTTCTACATTACTGATTCAGTACAAAAACTTTTTAGATTTCCAAACATTAGTTTTCCAGCACAAAATTAAATGTTACAGAAAAATGTTTGTATGTCAGTAAAGAGAGCAGCAGATTACATAAGAGACCACTTTTCAGGCAAAAAACATAATGAAGGCTGCTGGGTTTTGCTGCAAAAAATAAGAAGCAAGTGTGACAGTCAAAGTCTCCAGAAGAGCTGTGACTGCTTCTGCAAGATGCTCAGTAACACTTATAAAAATGTCCTTATAAAACTGCACAAACTGTACCCGAGACTGCTATTTATTTATTTATTTATTTATTTATGCATGCCAAGGATCGTCACAGCAGATATTGACTTTGTTCCATTTATTACTGTTTACTGCTGTTTATAGTATTTTTTGTAGAAACATTTAATTACATTATTTTTGAAGGCATCTTTGCTCTACAGCATTTCTTTGAGTGTTTATTTTTCTGGTTAAAGAATAGTGGCATGTGCTAATTTCTGTCTTTTTGCTGTTTGTTTGTTAAATCTGTAGCTAAAGGGCCGGGAAAAAGGCGTGGTATTAACATAAAGATCTCTGGGGTTCAGGTAAATGCTAAATCCATCATCCAGCATGAGGAAGAGTTTGAGCCTCTGCACAAGGCCGTGCCCTCCAGTCCCTTCGAGAGGAGCAAGTATGTTCAAAATAAATCCCTTTCTAACTTATTAAACCATCATCATTTCCAACTTTATCCTCTAGCAAGAGATACAAGGATAGGATTTATTCGCTATCAATTTAACCTTAGTTTATTTTTTGTTAAAAATAAGTACAAACAGGTTGCAGGAGTAATTAACTAATCCCTTTCTGTGTCTTAGATTTCAGCTGAGCTGTCGTGTGAAGATGCCACACTTTGATGTAGATTGGGATGTGCAGGATGACGCACATCTGCTGTTGGGCATCTACGAGCATGGATACGGCAACTGGGACCAGATCAAGACTGATTCTGAACTGAAACTCTTGGACAAGGTGCACTCAGTCTGGTTGTTACTCATTTAGAAATAATCATGTTATGGTTTGCTAACCTGACCTAATCAGCCTGCCTAGATATTACAGAATATTTATTTTGTAACCTCAAGGACCTTCAGTCATGTTGCTAATATTACATCATGTCTGAGCTAACTGCCATTATGTGTAGATTCTTCCAGACAACCCTGACAAAAAGCCACAGGCAAAGCAGCTGCAAATGAGAGCTGATTACTTGTTGAAGATCCTGAAGAAGGAACAGGAGAGTAAAGACACTTCCAAAGCAGAAGAAGAGGTGAGTGTTGCTTAGGCCTGGAACAGCATGACAAATTAACGTTACTATAATACAGGGTACTTGTGTAAGCCTGGAAGAGTATAGAAATAATTGCACTCTTTTTTTTTTTTTTTTTTTTATATAAATATTCAAATCAATTACCTATATCTAAATCTACTGTCTGTGGTAGGCTTGTGAGATCATGTGTGAAATGCCATCGTCCATCGTAACTATTGCTGATAGTATCAGCTGTGGCGTAAGGGGGCGTGGTCACACACATGTAAAGTGTCTTGTGTACACGTTACACAAGACACTTACCAGAAGCTGGTTATGACTCTGCTGTAGATGTGATCACTAGCATTAGCAGTTTTTTTAATAATTTTTTTTTTTTATTATTATTATTAATTACCCTTTAACAAGGTCATAACACGCTGTTTAATTTTCTTAATTTAATTCCCTGTTCACGTTTTGAGAGTGAAGACATTCACAGTTTATTCTGTTTGCCAGCACAGACAAGCTAAGATGCATCAGAGAAAGATGTTTTGTTGCTCTGCTCCGAAGTCAGACAGCAGGTTATTAAAACCAGAGGCCAAACTTGCCTTGTTGATGTTTACAATCTAAACGTTGTTGAGTTTACAACTTGTTGATGAGAGAGATCAGAGGAGAATCACCAGACTGGTCTGAGCTTACAGGAAGTGTAAAGTAACTCAAATAAGCATTCTTTACAACTGTGGTGAGCAGAGACTCCAGTTTGGGTGAGCCTGTGCCCATGATAGCCTCAGGTTCTTGTTCTTGGCTGACAGGAGTGGAACCTAATGTGATCTGCTGCTGCTGTAGCCCATCCACCTCAAGGTTTGATGTTTTGTGCATACTGAGATGCTTTTCTATTCACCACGGTTGTAAAGAGTGATTATGTGAATTACTATATCCTACCTGGCACCTCGAACCAATCTGGCCATTTTCCCCTGACCTCTCTTATCAACAAGGTTTTTTGTTTTTCGCACCATTCTATGTAAACTTTAGAGACTGTTGTTTGTGAAAATCCAAGTTGATCAGCAGTTTCTGAAGTACTCAAACCAGCCCACCTGTATCTGCATGATTTTATGCATTGTGCTGCTACATGATTTGGCTGATTTGATAACTGCATAAATTCAGTTTCAATTCAATTTTATTTGTATAGCTGAGATGATACGAGGAAGAAATCTTGAGAGGAACCAGACTCAAAAGGGAACCCAGCCTCATCTGGGTGACACAAGATAGTGCAATTGTAAATAAATCCCTTCTCTAACTGTGTACTACCTGGGCAAATAGTGCAATTATGTAACCAGTAAACTGTCCACTGATGGAGACCTGAGTGCAAAAAGCGAGCAATGTCCAAAACTCCAACCATAAGTAGGGCATCAGGATGGATCAGGCAGGTCCGGAAAGCAGAAGGGGTCAGGATCACTGGCATCTCAGGGAGTAGCATGTGTAGCGAGAGAGTGATGGAGAGAGAATGAGCAGGTGTGGAGGTGTTCCTATTAAAGTAACTAAAAACCAGAGGAAATAGGGAGGTGTGATATGACCCGACGCAACATGAAGGGGTCTGGTTTGAACTTTGCGCCTGATGGTGTCAATATCTGAAAGATTTAAAAGCGACATTTACTAGATGGCATGTCAGAGCCAAAACATTCTTGTCTGTCACGTTTCCAAGTCTAACTGTAAAATGTGTAGTGACAGCAATTTTAAACACACTTAGACAAGCTCTGTTTTTCTGTAAAAGTTTATGCTGCCATCATGATAATTGTCATGGTCTACGTCTCAAATTGAAAACTCCGACCTTACATTCAAATGTATTTATTAATCTATAAAATCCAGACAATTGATGTGCAAAACAGACCTTTTGTCAGGTTTTTAAAATTTAAACACTAAATGCAATAGGAAACTTGATTAGTGCTAGTACTATGTAACAGTCTAGAATAGTATTTAAGTATGAGATTTGAGATTTTGTTTGTTTAGCGGAGGTAGATGGACAGGGAAATTTGTCCATTTTTATTGCTGTGTTTGTGCAACTATGCTTGTGCAACATGCCAGTAGAGTGGAAAAAAATAAAATAGTGTGCCCTATTTATTTAAAATGTAACCCCCTATAACACTGCAAAAATATTAGTACACAAAATCTGTCTTCAGTGTTATTAATTTGTAAAATAAATGAATAAAAACAAAAGAGGAAATATGAATTTCCCTCTCGACCCCATTTGTAAATCAAGTGACACCTAGTTTGGGAACACTTGACACAATTAGTATTTGTTTAATACTAGCAATGATAGAATTGGCTGTAATGTTAATATAATCTTATTTGTGTTTAAAAAAAACAAAAAAACACCTGGATTGTTGTATTGAAGTAAATATTTTTAATAATTTATGGCAATGTTAACATTTAGGAGTTCCTCTTGAAGTATTACCAAGGCCATCATTTGGTTTGTGCAGTGCAGTATTATTGTGCTTATTTTCAGTCCCAGGTAAAGAAGAGAAAACCTAGAGTAAAGAAAGACAAGACCCGAAAAGATGAACTAGCCAGTGAAATCTCCTCTCCTCATCTTTCTGAACATACTTCAGAAGAAGGTGAAGTGAAGGTATGTTCCCCTGATACGCAGGCAACATATCAAACCAGAAGTGCAAACAAAACACTGGAGTGTTCAGTGCCCAGTTTGGAGAGCAGTGGCTGTTAAATTTGTCTACTAGTCCTTTAACATTTTTTTTTTAATTGAATCTTTTCTCATGTATTTGCACGTGTTCCAGGATGACAGAGCTGAAAAATCCCCCACAAAGAAGAAACAGAAGAAGGACAACAAAGAGAACAAAGAAAAGCAGGGCACTACAAAGAAAGACAAGGAGGGGGACAAGGACAAAAAACGGACAAAGCTCAAGAAAGAAAAGGTTGTTTTAAAAAGTGTTGTTCTTTAGCTTTTGCCGGGGTTATGTTTGACCATAAGAAGGTTTCCTTAACATGTAGCTGTTACATCGGCTTCCTGTTTGAAGAGATAAGGCTCTGCAGATTGAATGGAACTGATTTACAGGGCAGTGTTGATCTTAGAGAAGTTTGTGTGAGTGTTCTAAAAGCTTGTCTTTGGGGATTTCTTTTCCAGACTAAATCAGGAGGCAAAGGCAAAAAAG